CAGACTGGAGGGGAGGCAGGGAGCTCTGCGGCTTGTGACTTGCTGGTCCTCTTCAAAGCTGGCCCTACCCATCCTGCTGTGTTCTTGCCTCTTACTGGCGTGAAGCCCCCAGGCTGTGCTTCAGCTCCAACACCCAGGCAGAGCTGTCTGTAGTCAAGTCTTTTCAGGCCGCCTTCTGACTGTGTGCAGGATTGACTGCCTGACTGTGTGGGGCTGCCTGTCTGACTGTGTGTGGGGCTGACTGACTGACTGTGTGCGGGATTGACCGACTGTGTGGGGCTGGCTGCCTGACTGTGTGTGGGGCTGACTGACTGTGTGGGGCTGGCTGCCTGACTGTGTGTGGGGCTGACTGACTGTGTGGGGCTGGCTGCCTGACTGTGTGTGGGGCTGACTGACTGTGTGGGGCTGGCTGCCTGGCCTGTGTTGGGCTGCTCTGCTTCCTGCTCAGGGCCTGCTTCTGAAGGGGTGTGGGTGATGCTTCAGAGGGCTGTTCTGTGGAGACAGCTGTGTCTCCACAGTGCCTGATGACTGACTTAACCAGGCAGGGTTAAGAGAGTGAGAGGAGGCATCTCTTTCTAGCCCTCACTCGTGGACTGAGGAGCCTGCGCTTTGTTCCCACCAGGGAGGCATTTCTGAGTGAGTTCTGAGATGCGAGGAAATGGGTGTCTTCTGGGCGCTGCTTATTTTTGTCAGGAGATTGCACTGCTCTGGAGAGGCAGAACCCTCCTCTTGTCTCAGGCTGCCCTTAATCCTGCTGGATAAACGCACCACAGGATGGGGCGTGGGTGACTGGAGGGTAGAAGGGGAAGCCACTGAAACCTAGCCACAGGGGGCACTTGGTGAGAGCTGAGCCGTCCTCACGCTCAGAGGGGTGTTGCCTCTGGCCCAAAAGAACATATGACTCTCCTGTACATATTCCCCTCCCCCCAAAAGATGGAGAGCACACCTTCCAGGCTGGATGTGGACAAGCCTGTCACCTTGTTTTAACGGCCTAGACTTGGGGACATTATGTTCCCCTCTCTGTTCATGGGACTTAGGAAGGGGTGTTAACTTGCATGTGGGGAAGCTGGTATCCTCAGTGGCTGACGTAAAGTGTTGGCAGCTAAGACTGTTTTTGTGTGCTGCAAATTCACTTACACGCAGGAGGTGCCAAATAAAGGCAGCATGGTAGAATAGTCAGAGGGGACCCCATAGAGCCTGACCCTCCGCTCTGAGCTCTGGTGTCCCATCTCTTGTCCTGGACACTGATCTCCTTAGTGCTGATAATTTAGCTGTGGGTTTTTTTTTCTTTCTTTTTTAGCAGGTGGCTTTCCGTGCTAGGCTTGGGATTAGTGTCAAAAGACGCATTTGGGGAACACTAAATAGTGAGTGTTCTGCCTTCTACTCAAGGTGGGGTCTGGTCTAGATGCAAAGGGGACCCTGTCTGCTGGGTGGGTCGTGGGGGCAGACTTTTCTGAAAGCCAGGGAAGAGTAGCGGGAAAGACCTGGCCTCTGACAGACTGGAGACACAGTCCCGTTGGCAGAGGCTTTGCCTAGCATGCAGAACTTTGTTTCCTAGCACTCTCAGATGGAGACAGGAAGATCAGAAGTTCAAGGACATCCCTGTCCACATAGTAAGTTTGAGGTCAGCCTGGGCTATATAAGATCCTGTCTCAAAAGAAAAAAAAGTTAAAAACTGAAAATCAGGCACACATGTAGGCAGGCACACTATCAAGATGGCTCAGGGGTTAAGAGCTCTGCTGTTTTACTTTATTTATTTATTTTTTGAAATACGGTTTCTCTGTGACCCTGGTTGTCCTGGAACTCACTTGCAGACCATGTTGGTCTCCTGAGTGCTGGGAATAAGGGTGTGTTTTAATACTGGACCTGAGTTGGGTTCCCACCTCCCACTTTGGGTGGTTCATAGTCACCTGTAACTCTAGCTCCAAGAGATATGGTGTCTTCTGGTCTCTGCAGGCACCTCTGCACATGTGCCACATTTGTGTATACACACACACACACATACACATTCACACACATGTGTATACACATGTAAAATGAAATCTTAAAAACTGGTCAGAGTGTGGATTTTAGCGACCTTGGGTCCTGCAGACGGGGCTGGTCCCTCTGTTCCCACCTGTTGGGGAGAGACAGCTCTGTCTACAGATGGCTCTTTTTGTTTGCTTTATTTTGTTCATTTCTTAAATCTATTTTATTTTATATGTATAACTGTTTTTGTCTGCATGTGTGTGTGTGTGCGCTATGTGCGTTAGATTCCCCAGAACTGGAGTTATGGACAGTTGTTAGCCACCGTGTGGGTGCTGGGAATTGAACCTGGGTCCCCTGCAAAAGCAGCAAAGTGCTCTTAAACAAGGAGCCATCTCTCCATGTCCCTGTGCTTGTGTTTTCACATATAGCTCTTAGCCCAGGCAGAGATGGGGAATGTTCTGGGCTCTCCGCTGAGATGCTCTGCAGGTCTGCCGGGCTGCATTACCTTCCAGCCCAGGGCTGAGTGCTGCTGACTTTTCTTAGGAAGGGTCAGGCCCATCTGGCCTGAGGTGTGTGTGCCGTCTTTCCAGGCCTGGGTGTGAAGTCTGCTGCCTGCCACTGGGGTACGTGTGCCTGCTGGAAGGGGCTGGTGGGAAGAGGAGAGTCCCCAGTTCTAGAAGAGCTGAAAGCAGGGCGGGCGAGCAGAGCCTCTGAAAATGTGAAGTCCAGCCCGGACTGCAGACAGCATTGGAGCCCATGATTGGTTCTATTATAGTATGCACTGCGTTTGTTTGTGGGCTGCCTTTTACTTCTTTTAATGACAATTCTTAACTTATTGATGGGTTGATTTATTATGTGGAGGTCACAAGGTAACTTTTGGGAGTTGGTTCTACCTTTCACCCTGCATGTTTCAAGGATTGTCAGGTGTGGCAGCAGGTGCCTTTTCCTGCTGGGTTATCTTGCTGGCCCTGCTCTGGGCTCTCTGTGGTCTCTGAAGGGAAGACTTTGGTCAATTGATGTTGATTGTTTCCTGGGATCACCTGAAGTCTTTCCCAGGGGGTTCCCACTTGTTTGTGAGTGTGTACATGTGTCACGCCAGGTGACATATATGCAGATTCAGTTTGATAATTTAGGTGTATGATATTTTAAAAGTGAGAAGAACCAGGCTGGGAATTTAGATCAGTTGGCAAAGTGCCTGCCAGTGTACACAAAACCCTAAGTTTAACCCCAGCAAAGTTCAAACGAGGTATGGTGATATGTGCCTGTAATCTCAGCAGTTTAGGGATAGAGGATTAGAAATTCAAGGTTATCCTTTGCTATAATAGAAAGTTCTAGGCCAACCTGAGCTACATGAGACCCTGTCTCAGGAAGAGGGAAAAAAAGTGGAACCACTCTTGTGGTTACTGAAGTTAATGATGCTGAGATGGGACTTTCATTTATGGTGCCTTCTCTTCTTGTACAGAAGTCACAGTGTGGCTGACCCAGAGTAGGATTTTAATTTTTTCTATACAGCTTGTCAATATAAAACTTTCCAGGAGCTGGGTGATAGTGGTGCAAGCCTTTAATCCCAGCACTAGGGAAGCAGAGGCAGGTGGATCTCTGTGAGTTCGAGGCCAGCCTGGTCTACAGAGCTAGTTCCAGGACAGGCTCCAAAGCTACAGAGAAACCTTGTCTCGAAAAACCAAACCAAACCAAACCAAACAAACAAACAAAAAAACAAAACAAAACAAAACAAAAAAACCAACCTTCCAGGAATATAACGTCATCCTTACAGCGGAGACCATCACAGTTATTCTCTTTCCCTGACCACTGAGATGCTGAATAAATATTTGACTCAGTCATGTGTAACAACCAGCGCCCTCTTCTGCCCCCCTAGGATACCTGCGCCCATGTGTGTGTACTCACCCACAGACACATTAAAAAATGAAAAGCTAAAAAGAAGAGTTTTTAATTTGATGATACTATCGATGGAACCCAGGGCTTAGCGGGTGGGCTACCCCTGGCTCTAGGCTCAGCTCCCCATTTAGTACTTTGATAGTGTTTTGTTTTGTTTTAATTTTTTTTTTTTTTTTTTTTTTTTTTTTTTTTTTTTTTTTTTTTAGTTTTTGTTGTTGTTTTTTCAAGAAAGGGTTTCTTAATGTGTAGCCCTGGCTGTCCTGGAACTCCCTCTGTAAGCCAGGCTGACCTCAAACTCACAGAAACCCTCCTGCCTCTGCCTCCCAAATGCTGGGGTTAAAGGTGTGCGCCACCACTGCCTGGCTGATAGTTGCTTTTAAAGATAGAGGCCCAGTGGGCTCAGCGCTGCTCTTACAGAAGTCCTGTCTTCCATGGAGATGTGACCATCTGTAGCTCCACTTCTAAGGAGTTCCAGATGGTTTCTGCCTTTCCCCCTTTCGGCCTCCTCAGGCACCAAGCATGACTGTGGTGCATTTACCTACATGCAGGTAAACACATAAAATAAAAATGAATAAACTTTTAAAAGCCAAAGTCATACTGGAGTGCAATAAATGTTTAAAACCTTGCTTGGTAATCCCAGAGGCTGGAGGGTCAGGAGTTCAAGGTCATCCTGGGCTACTTAGTTTCCTGAGGTCCTGAGAAAATACTCTGACCAAAGCTATTTGAGGCAGTTTGTCCTGGCTCAGTGTTCAAGGGTGCCGTACACAGGGCAGGAGATGCCGTATGCTGGTGTGTGTGTGTGTGTGTGTGTGTGTGTGTGTGTGTGTGTGTGCGCGCGCACGCATGTGCTCCGTGTACGGGATGGGAAGTGCCCACACGGGGCAGGAGACCAAGGCAGCAGGGTCTTGGCAAAGGGTCACAGCCAGGAAGCAAGCGGGGAGCTGCTGAGTGCTATTCTCTGCTCCATTCCTCTGTTTAGACAGCCCGGGAGCTCAGTCTAGAGAATGATGCAGTGAGGTCTGTTTCCTAAGTGATGCTAAATTCTGGCAAGTCTGACAATAAATCAACCATCACAGTGAGATAGTGAGTTCCAGGGTAACCTGGGCTATATGAGATTTTTGTCTTAAAAAAAATTGCTTTCCATTTACTTGCTGCCCTAGGCTCTCAGTGACAGGAGCAGTTTTACGCATAGGATAAAATAATATTGGGCAATTGTAAATCGAGATGAGGTGATTTTCTCTCTTCTGCATGGTCTAGACATTGCTCTTGGTGCCTTATATGTAAATGTGAGCAGGATTTAATCAAGGGTGTTTGCAGTTAATACTGTTTTCATTAATTAAAAAAATACTAATGAAAATAATTGCCGGCTGTTGCTGGTGCCCATCTTCAATCCCAGTACTCCAGGAGTCAGAGGCGGATCTCTGGGTTTGAGGTCAGCCTGGTCTACAGAGTGAGTTCCAAGACAGATACGACCTCAAAAAACAAACAAAAAAAAATCATTTTTTTTTACAATTTTTTAAAATTATATTTAGTTGTTTTATGTATGTGTGTGTGAGTGGGTGCAGAGGTCAGAGGTCAACCTGCTTGGGGAGCTCTGCCCTGTGGGTCCCAAGGACTGAACTCAGGTAGCCAGGCTTGGTAGCCAACGACTAAAGAGCCACCAAGTCATCCCGCGGGTCCTGGATTCCCTTTTGTAGCTTGTGGTTGGGTTTCTTTTCATGTGAGGAGTTACCTAGCTTGTCATACTGTAAAAGTGGTTTCTGAAATGTGTACTCCATTGATACTAGTCGAGAGAATGAAATCAGAGTCTGTGTGTGTGGAATACATCGATCGCTGTGGGGAACTCCGGTTCCCCTCTGCGCAGTCACCGGCCGAACAGCCGGAGTTTGTAAGAAGATATGTCGTATTGGCGAGAGTTCTGCGGTTCAGCAATGTAGCTGGCTCCTGGGAACGTGTCTTCCAAAGTTCATTCATTGTCAAATATTGACTGACGCTCCCTGTGCTCTGGGTCTGTGCTTAGGCCTGGGGTCGCTAAAGTCAGGTTGATCACAAAGTTCCTGGAGTTCTGGCCTCAGAGGAAGGGCGAGACCGCTCACGTCACACCCACACCCGGCAGGGAAAGATGCCTGGGACTTTTAGAGCTGGGTGGTTTTTATTGGTTGTTTAATTATATCAAATAACTTTTACTGGTGGTAAACTAATTTCCATAATTACCGATGCATTCATTCATATTGGTGCTTCTTTTATTGTGGCAGAAGATGGCTGTGCCTCCCACATATGCTGATCTTGGCAAGTCTGCCAGGGATGTCTTCACCAAGGGCTATGGTGAGTGTTGGAGGAGGGAGTTGGGAGCGCTGGAGGGATGGAGGGCCTTTTACCTACAAAAGGTGTTTGAGACACTTGGTGGTCAGCTCCCAGCTGCCAACAGTTCCCAGCTGTGCAGTCAAAAAGATGAGCTTCCTGCGGCTGTGCGCCACCCAGTGGCGAGGCTCAGGCATTGCAGGACAAGTAGCAGACGCTCCAGCTTCTGTACCGGTAGAAGAATGGCATTCTAAATTTAGCCTGCCGGGCCTACCAGCCCTCCTGACTGTGTCTCTGCCAGCTGCTGGGAATCTCCCCCACCCCCTTCTCCCCGGCCCTGAATGGGCACAGGTGGAGCCTGCGTTCTCAGTCTGCCCCTGTTGCATCGGCTTCTCGTAAGCAGCAGCAGGGGTCAGGTGCCCCCAGCGCTTTAGGGCTGTAGTGAGTTTCTGTAAGCATCTCCAGAGGGCCAAGAGGAAGGCAGAGGTGTCCTAGCTTCAAGTTTTTATTTTTCTAGTGCTGGGAATCCAACCTAGGGCCTTGAGCTTGCTAGAATCGTTCTACCATTGAACTGCAGCTCCAACCCTTCTGACTTGGTTAGTTAACCTGTTTATGGTTGTTTTTCTTTTTTCTTTTTTAGGCTTTGGCTTAATAAAACTTGATTTGAAAACGAAGTCGGAGAATGGATTGGTAAGTTGCTTCGCTTGCACGGGACAGAATATTTGTTTCTGGCCAGTAGGAGGTGCTGTGGCCAGACTGGCTGAGCCGGAAGCAGTTGCCTATTTGGATTGTGCCCTTTGTGCTTGTCCGTCTTATCATATCTGTGTGATAGGTGGTCTGGGACTATAGTAGCTGCTGCTATTCATAGGAAAATGAGAGTGGTCTCTGGTAAAATTGTCGTTACGTTTGCTGCTTTTTTACAAGTTATTTTGTGGTGTTGGAAGAAAATCAAACTCTGGCCCTAACACACTGTAGGCACGTGCTCTACCATTGACCTAAACCTCTAGCCTGGTTACTCCTTGATGTTTCTTACTTCAAAATGGGCCTTTCTTTTTCTCTTCTTTTTTAAAAAAATAATTTAACTTTATTTTATGTGCATTGGTGTGAAGGTGTTAGATCCCCTAGAACTGGAGTTACAGTTGTGAGTTGCCATATGGGTTCTGGGAACTGAAGGTGGGTCCTCTGGAAGAACAATCAGTGCTCTTAACCACTGAGCCATCTCTCCAGCCTCCCTCCTTCCTTCCTTCCTTCCTTCCTTCCTTCCTTCCTTCCTTCCTTCCTTCTTTCCTTCCTCTCTCTCTTTCTCTCTCTCTCTCCCTCCCCCCTCCTTCCTTCTTTTTTTTTTTTTTCTTTAGCTTTTTTAGTTTTTTGAGACAGAGTTTCTCTGTAGTTCTGGATGTCCTGGAACTCATTCTGTGGACCAGGCTGTCCTGGGACTAAAGGTGTGTCCACTGCTCAACTGCCTTTTTTCTTTTTTAAGAGTTATTTGTGTGTGTGTGTGTGTGTGTGTGTGTGTGTGCACGCGCACACGCATATGTGTGCCTCTGCCTGCATGAGTTTGTGTGTACCATATGTATGAAGGAACCTGGGGGCGCCAAAAAAGGGTATTGCATCCCCTGGAACTGGGGTTACTTTTACAGGTCACTGTGAACTGCATTGTGGGTGCTGGGATTTGAACCCACATCTTCTACAAGAGCAGTAAGTGCTCTTAACTGCTGAGCTGTCTTCAGCTCTGTTGACATCTATTTTTGTTTATTTATTTCGTTTTGGTTTAGTTTCGGTTTTTGAGACATGACCCTGGATGCCCTAGAACTCATTGTGTATACCAGATTAAAGGCATGTTCTACCTATATTTTTGTGTGTGGGGGGGTTTGAGACAGTGTTTCTTTGTGTAACAGTCTTGGCTGTTCTGAAACTCGATTTGTAGACCAGGCTGGCCTCGAACTCACCAAGATCTGCCTGCCTCTGACTCCCAAGTGCTGGGATTAAAGATGCATGCCACCTATGGTTTTAGTGTTTCATTATTATTTAGAGAACATTCATAGATTGTTGGAAGGAAGAGTGTGGGTTTAGAATTCTGCTGTGTCAGCTTTCGCTCAATGACTCTCTCTGTCTAAGACTGGAGGCAGCCGAAAGCTGGGTGACTTCTTATCCAGACTTTAAGGGCCGTAGGGAAAGAAGGAAGCTGTCTTCCAAAGAACTCCCCAGAAGCTTCCTTTTGGTAGCAGGATCTTTCAGTCCTTTGTATTTTCAGTATCTAACTGAACTGTAGAAATAGTTCTGGTTGGATATGCCAGGGACTCTCTGTTGCTTAAGGTCCTGGAGAGGCACGGAGGGCAGGCTGGACTGTGGGACTGTGGGCTGAGACTCTCTTTCCTTTAAGGAATTTACCAGCTCAGGCTCCGCCAACACAGAGACCACCAAAGTGAACGGCAGTCTGGAAACCAAGTATAGATGGACTGAGTACGGCCTGACGTTTACAGAAAAGTGGAACACAGACAACACCCTGGGTACCGAGATCACCGTGGAAGACCAGGTAAGGCCTCCCCGCCAGAAGTGCTGGCTCTACCCATTCCCATCCTGGCTCTACCCATTCCCATTGCAGCATCCACGGCCCTGCCCTCAGCTAACCTGTACCACCGCTCTCTTCCATGCAGCTCGCTCGTGGGCTGAAGCTGACCTTCGACTCATCCTTCTCACCTAACACTGGGTAAGGGTCTCGCCTTTGTCCCATGACGACATTTTAGGATGTTGTGGGCCTTGGAAGTCCTTAATGACAAAGGATTTTGATGTTAAGGGTGACATCATGTTAAAGGTAGCCTCTAAACTGGGAGACTGGAGGGTGGGGAGAGATTGTGGAGTCAGGGCCAGCCAGGGCTAAAGTGAGATTCCATATTAAAGAACAGAAACTAATGAGACAACAGTAAGGCTGCTTTGGTCCGAGCTCTGTATATTCTGAGTTCTGTGGTGGTGTTTTGACCAGAACACAGATATCCATCTGTTAGTGGGCTGTGCTGTAGCAGGCATTAGAAAATACATTTATCTAACACATGGTTTTGTGTGTTTCTCTGCACATTTGGGAACTGAGGTTGCCTGGGCCAGGATGCTGTTAGTCCCCAAGGAGCTTCCCTTTTCCTTTTGACAAGGGTCTCCTGTAGCCCAGGCTGGCCTTGAACTCATTATGTAGGCAAGGATGACCTTGAACTTCTGATCCTCCTGCTTCCACCTCCCCAGTACTGGGATCACGGGTGTATGATCCAGTTTCTGGGGGTGGGGTGGTAAGGGTCAAAGCCAGGGTTCATGGTCCCGGGTGAGTGCTCTACCCACTGAGCTGTGTCCCCGGGGCTGAGGATTGTCCTTGGTAGCGGAGGACTCAGATCAGTGTTCCAGGATCCCATGATGCCCATTGTGTGTCTGGCTGCAGGCAACAGCTTTCTGTCCCAGTCAATGTGTTTTATTTAAAGCTGCCAGTAGCAAAAGTGGCCAAGACTGAAGGGCAGAAGTGGCATTTGGAAGCAGGGGTTATCTGGTCACTGCTGCCTGTTTTGTAGGTGTGGAGGGCCCTTCTCCCAGTTTTCTGAGACACTGAGATCGCTGGAGCTTAAGCACAAGGTGGCTCCTGAGCTGCCAGGTCCTCTGGCCAGAAACGGATTAGACCTGTTGGTTGTTGACACATCAGAGGGCAAAGAGAGCAAGCCGGCCTTCCTCAGCTCCTGAGGCTGTGCAGGACCAGGCAGAACGTTTCCCTTCTAGAATAGCCTACACTCTTGTGATTTTGTACTCGAAGTGGTGAGTCTCCTAGATCAGGGGAAGCTTGTTTTGCCCACTGATGATCGAGTCTAGGCTTTTACTAAATCTCATGTCTTTGTTTTTTGGTTTAGCAGGTTTTTGGTTTGGCAGGCTTTTGGTTTGGCAAAACATGTATAAAATTTACCATCTGCGTCATCTTTAATATTCACAGT